GGCTGCGCTAAGTTTCACTGCGGCTGTAATGAACGAGAATTAGTCGACTCGTTGCATCGATCGCTAAGCGCGCCATCGCTAGTTCTACTGAATCTTAAGCGTCTCCGTGTCCCATCCCCTTCTTACCCGTCACCCTCCCCCTCTCTGGTCCTCCTCAAATCCACGTCTCTCGTAATTCTCCAGGTTCGTTCATGTCCCAGATTCGGCGATATCTCAATAGGGCAAATTGCCGGCAACGATTCGGTGCGAGTTCATTAGATAGCGCTACCCGGCGAGCGCCGCTGTGAGACCAGAGACTACGTTCCTTAACAGCGCCTCTCCCTATGCTTCCCTCATCTCCGTTTTCTTCTCCAGATTTCTCCCGTCACTGGCTCTCAAGTCGTATTCCGTTTTTCCCGTCAATACGTGTTCTTTCTCATTTTACAGCCCTACCCACGCGAAGTTTCCCTTCCGTGAAGCTTTTTTCCTCCTCTAGTCTGCCTTTCCTTCCCTCAGTCATTTTGCGCTCCCCCTCATCCTTCCCGCTCTCCCGTCTCCCCATCGCTTCTTTTCTCTGGACCTCCTTCCTTCTATCTCACCGTTCCTGATCCCTTCTCTCGAGTCTCTCATCTCCCCTGATTCATTCCTCATTCCCCTATTCCATTCCCATTTCACGGATTCCCGATATTCTCCCGTCCTTCTTATTTTACCATCTCCCCTCTCAGACCTTTCCTCATCATGCTCTTTCCCCACGTTCCTAACGCTTCGCTCCTTCTACTGGATCCCTTCTATTTTCCCATGTCCTCCAGCTCCGATTCGTACCCTTCTTTCTTCTCCACTCTAATTTTCACCGCCCATCCTCATTTTTCTTCGGTAACTTTTCCGCGCCCCCTCATCATACTTCTTCCCCGTCTGCTTCCGCACTGGACTGCGCCGCGCTCCCCGAACCGCGGTTTTCAATCGCGTTCACCGGAGAATGTCTGCGGTTTCCGACCGCGATTACCGTGAAGATTTTTCGCGTGAAAACCGCCTAAATTGATTCCATCAACCCGTGCCGCGGGGAGGAATGATGTATGAGCACCCCAGACCGCCGGCAACAACGTCTGCAGAATTGTAACGATTGGTTTCTGGATGCAAAATGATTTGGCCCGCCTAGCAGAGAAAAATGGTACCTCGAAATTCCTTGATCGGCATAAGGTCGTAGGAGCCCGGTGACTCGCGCCCTCACCCACGGGATGCGTTTCCAGCTGGTCTCCAGCCGCGCTTTTCGGTTTCGTGATGCCATTCGCCGGAACCGCGATTCTTCCTAGATGCGGTACTTTGCAAAGCGGAGTTCATACACGGCTGGAATTCGCTCAGTTCAGAACTCGATCGCTGGAAAGCGCTTGCTACAGGCTGCGTTGAGGAATATCGAAGGTCAAGGATGCGTCGGGTGAAACAGGAAAAACGGAGCTCACTGGAAAATGGTTGAGCTCCGGTGCGATCTCCCTCGCCAGAAACTTTCGGAATGCTGGGGCCGATCATCTCGCCTAATTTGGAGCGATCACTTGCGTGCTCTGGCTCACCAATAAGGATATCCATACAAACGTGATTTTCACTTCTGATGTACAGATTAATACAGAGACGATCCAGCATTTTCCGAGACCCTCTTTGAGATTCACAGAGGAACTTCGACAGAATCGGGCCTTGATCCAGAGGCTCGCACGATAGCATAGGTTGCCGTCATCATGACATGCGGAGAGAAATCGAATTATTTCACCGTCATCGGGTAGACCAGGTGGAAATTAGTGGAACATCGATGAGTCTTGGGAAACAGGAAACGGTAGTATTCACTCTTCTTCCGTTGTGGATGTTATGACTACTCGCGTGTGTTTACAGAAGCCGGAGTCACAGATCCGCATGTCGTCACTGAACAACTGAACTCAGCGGCGATACAAGTGCCCAAAGAAGCGAAGAGTGTCAAAAGAGAGACCGACCGATTGACTGGCTGACTAACAGTGGTTAGGCTGACATCAACTGTCACGGCGACTCGGCTCATCCAATCTCACCTTCTACCTGGCTTTCTCGGCTGTGTGACGTTTTCGTCTCTTTCTAGGAGGTTCCCCGCTCGTCTCACACCTGCTATCTGTGAGAGAAGTCCGGGTAAGTGTTGTGCGCTCAAGAGAAAAATTGGACTTTTTGTCGATTTCGCGCGGGGTTTTTCCGACTTGACCCACATATCCGTGGCGTTTTCGGAGCACCGACCGAACTTTCATTCTCGGGATGATACGATTCGCATGAGCTTCCTAACATCTTGCGGTATCTGTTCGAATCCTTCCCTCACTCCCGTCCGAGTGGGGAACCCATCCCAAGAAGCCCAACTAAATTCCTCCAAAGATGAGTCCCATGAACATCGCTGTTCGTCGGGGCGGTCGCGTGCCGAAGATTCGCGGTGAACTATTCCAATCTCGACCGTGGGAGAAATTTTCGGAGCAAGGAAAGTCTCGAATGGGTTCGGTCGAGAGGAGAGAATTTCCAGTTGCTGCGGGCCGAACTCGACGACAAAACTCATTCTCCCGAGAAAACCCGTTGCTGAGTGAGAAATCGGTGGCGCCGGATTTGCTCTCATACCAACAGGGGCGTACGCAGGGTGGAGGCTGAAGGGGCTATAGCCCCCGCCCGGATGGTCTCTTCGTAATGCTGTAGTACAGGAGCGAATCGCCATACCGGATTTCAGCCCCATGCGGAGACCCGATCTAGCCCCCCCCCAACGAACAGATCCTGCGTACGCCACTGCATACCAAGCGATGAATAAGTCGACATACGGTGTCGAGAAACGATTCTGACGCTCAAGTGAGGGCAAGCTCAGGCCAGGCTCGCTTGAGGCTGCGGGAGCTCGATCAGGAAAACTAGCTCGTTTGTAGATCAATGAGCTCAGGGAAACCGGGACCGGCTAGAATCATGCTATTGCAATGAAAACCAGCATGGGGTAGACTCGCTCCGTCGAGGGCACGGCGGAAGCTCCCGAGAAAAAAGTCTCACGCTTCGTGGTTCCTTTGTGAGAGGCTGCTCTTCGGAGTCGAGATCCTCGAGGGCTGGAGTAGTCGAGACGCACGCGGATATTTAAATGCATTCCGTCCGTACTAGAGCGTGTCTCTCGGTCAGGGGGACTCGAGCAGGTTGGAATAGATGGCGCATCAGATGTCACAGAGCAGCTTCGTTGACGGGAGCATATAGGAAGCTCCTACCGAATCCAGCGATTCCATCACGACACAACGGATTTAATCTTCGGATTTTCGCTCCAGCTGTAATCTCGCGAGACAATCGACTAGTTGTGGAATGGGAAATTGCCCGGTGAGCATCGACCTCAACGTCATCGCTCAGCTGGAGGCGCCACGGTCTCGAAGAAGGACTAATGCTATCTGAATTTCACGAAAAGTCCCCATTCCCATGAAAAAAATGGAGAGGAGCTGTCCTCTCACCCACGTAATCATGGTTCGGGTTCAATCCGCGTTCACTGTTCGATTGGGCTAGCAACGCCATTCCATCCGAGGGAGGATCATTCGAGGACCGCGCGACCCGAGGAAGGTCACCGAACATCTAGTACCGGGGTTATTCGCGTATTCGATATAGCCCCCAAGATTGTCGACCAGCCCCACTGCGTTAGAGTTCCTCACTTCACTGAGAGCGCGATGAGGAACAGGAGAATAGTCTTTGCCCGGCCAAGACACTGACTGGTACTTTCGCAATGACTCCGGAGGGGGTTCCGCGCTGAAAAGAAATCGGGAGCCGCTCGTCTGTAGGCATCGTTGGGCAGACTGTTAGCGCCGACTGAGCAGCCGTAAACTGATGCAGCCTGTTTGATCTCGAGATGGGCAAGCGCTCTCAGAAACAAATGCTCAATGCAGATTTCGGCGGGTACTGTTATCGAATGAACTCTCGCTCATCATCAAAAGAAATGACGTATTCCCCTCGGATAAGCAGAGGATCTGCTGCCCCAAGCGGAGATGAGGAGAATCCACGAGAATCCACGCGCAGGTTTCAGAAGAATTCATCACACCCGCTCAATTCGCATGCGGCTTGAGGACGGAGAAAAGGTCGGAGAAGGGGGGAGACGATCTTCTCGGTTTAGGGGATGCGGGCCGAAATCTGGCTCTAGACTTCTAGACAGATGGAATCCGGATGAACCCGCCAGATGCCCCTTATATGCTTCGGCTGAATATCGAACACGGTGTCATGTAAATGAGTGGATGACCGTCTCTAAGGTTGCAGAAACAATGCAACAGTCACCACAGGTCGGCCAGCACGACTCCGATCACGCAACACATGTGATCTCTATTCGATTGGCGGAGGGCACTCCCAGACGCCCGCGCGCACACAGAGAAACCGCGCGGAGCATCTTTATTTCATGTGAACATTGTCTTTGTTGAGGGCGTCAACGGAATTACATTGCCCCGAGGTAGGTGGCTCGTCCAGCTCTCGGACCCGACATCAATCAGGGCATGCGTCACATCCACATTGATCGTTAGCTCATTGGGCAGTTTCGCCGCACGAAGACTTCACCTGTCCACTGCGAAAGAGATCCACATACGGAATCGTCGTGAAGTGTCACCGGATCGAGTCCTCAATCTAGTTTAGTTCTGGGCTGTTCCCTTGTTTGATTCCGTGACACTTGAATTGATATCTCGTTGAGGAGGAGGGTGCCTGTCGCCGTCAATGAATGACAGCTCTGACGCGGTTTGTTTGATATCGGTCCGCCGCCTCATCACCGCCAGGTTGGAACCGTGTGCCAACATGTTACTCGGTCGTATCTTCCAATGAGCGTCTGCTGCATGCTCGTGATCTAGTGCCGTTTCCTCCCTAGACTTGACGACGTTCTAGTGCGGGCGGAAACAACTGGACTCGGTCAGTTCCCGATTCCAAGCAGAGCCGGGAGAAGTATGTCCACTAGGATGTTGAGCGTCCAACAGTCCCTTGCGATGCCCTCTGTTCTGACAATAATTGTAAGCCGCCCATTTTTTTTCAGAGGGGAGCCTTGAATTATGATAAGCCTAATCGGCACGCTCCGGGGCTTGCTCAAGATCAAGCCTGTGCACATCGACGGCGTCGTGTTCCGCTTACATCATGGCCCCACTGTGGTACTTCTGCTCGCCTTTTCTGCTCTCATCACAACCAAGCAGTATTTCGGTGAGTTGCCCCCAAGAGACCTCCGGAATTCCCCGGATACAGGGCTCGAACTCCTCGACGCGAACGATCGACTAACCCGTCGCGCCATCACCTATCGTGGAACCTGAACTAGGACCGAAATCGACAGGCCTCCGTCCGTAAGCGATCAGCGGGAGCTCCGTGCTAATAACAGCGAGATCTCATCCGATGTCTCCGGTCTTCAGTGTCCCTTCGACATATTCATCGAATTTTCGATAAGGGCGATTCATCGGCTGCCTAATCCATCCTACACATTCGAATTGAAGCCATTACGTCGCGAGGAGTCGCTGCGGGCTGATCCAACGCCGCCAGGCCACGTGATTCCGATATCCGAAGCGACATTTCTCACTCGGGCCAGAAGAGAAAGCGGCTCTCGAAACTCCTCGGATTCCGATCATGGCACGAAAATGGGTCTAGCGTCGACCCCACCGCCCAAGGAAAACGGGAATGGAGGATCTGGGAAGCTTCGGCCGTAATTGTTCCGAATGAACTGGTTTCAGAGGGCCCGCAGAGGAACGCATCCGTCGAGGAAAGAGCTCCGGGCTGCGGAAAGAGTTTGTAGCCGGAGCTAACATTACTTCCAGCTCGATAGGTACCTCACCTTGGATGCAACGTACAATGTCACTCGGGCGCGATACTTCGTTCGGTGCTCGGACAAACTGATGCTCTCCGACCGAACGAGACCTTACCGAAATTCGAATTCCACGGATGTAGCGTATGAGTTTGGCGGTGCGGAAACGATATGTCATGGGATCTCCTCCCTCGACTCCGGCAACGGCCGTCGCAAAACATTCAAAGCTCGGAACAGCGAATCATCGTCCCCCGCTCATTTGTACTTATTTCTCTAACGACGTTCATTTCCCGCAACACGCAGGTGATCCTATCGATTGTGATATATCTGGAGGAGCACCGAAATCCCTGATGAATTTATACTGCTGGATACACGCAACGTATTCCGTGAAGTCATTGTTCAAAGATGTGGACGGCGTTGAAATCGTTTACCCGGGTGTGGGCTCCTGGAAAGGCGCTCCACCGAAGCAATACGGCCAGCAGGGAGATTACAAGTTCCATAAGTACTATCAGTGGGTGTCGTTGATGCTATTCTTCCAGGTGAGTTCCTATTCGCTGATCCTAGAGCCAGCTTGTCACATACGATCGTTGTCGAGATTCATACCGCACCTCGAAAGCGGCGAGAGAACCGATATGTTTGGGAGAATGCCGGGAATCTCGGGGCATCTTCGCTCCTACCCACGACACAAATCCCCGGAGATGGGTCGGCAGCACCTTATCGAAACATATGTATATTTTTCCCCGGCTACGACTCTCCCGATCCCCTCGGCTACGAAGAAAGCAAGAGACCCGAAAATACAATAATTTCGAACCGAATCGCGGATGCAGACGTTCGAGGTACAGCAAGCGTCTCCTAGAGACGATCGCCCTATGTAAACGAGCACCGGACTGGATGCTTCGAGTCATTCAGGAGTAAATCCGGAGTTGTCCCGGGTCGCGCGAGCTGGGGCCGACGCTTCCAGCACTCGTATTGAAACCAGCACTGGATCTCCCATGTAGAAATCAGTCCGAAAATAATCCCCGTAGAGGTGTTTTGGGCTCCCGAAATTGATAGATTCTTGGCAAGCTCCTCCGATGAAATGTATCGATTTGAAGCATGGCCCTCAACAGTCTAGGAATAGTCGACGTGACGAGGCGAGTTTGACGGCGTTTGAACTTCTCTTCTGTAGCCACTCGAGGCTTGCCGTTGGCTCACCTCCGTAGCTTTCATGAGAGACGCTGGAATGAAGTCTCCGGAATGATGGCCAAAAATAATTGTCCGCATAGTTTCCCCAGATTCCATCCCTACCCTCTATCGATGTGTTCAAGTCCCTCGAAGCTTGCGCATTGCATTAGGCCTTGTTGACGGTGACGCAGTTCTCCAGGGGAGGCGGACGACAGCGTCCTCTGTTGCATTCGGACCTCTGCGACCTACTACTTCGAATCTTCCTTGTGCCGCAATAGACGACATCACATTGCCTTCGCCGGAGAGGCGAAGGTGCTCTGTTTCTAAGTCGAGTCGAAGCTCAAATCCATTGACCTTTCGACGAGAGAACGTTGATCCGCCGAGCTTAGACAGAAAGGATTTTCCTGGTCGATTCTAGGCCCTCCGGGACTTTTAACGTCGAGGAAAAGCGGCATTTGGAGGACAACCTATTCTCCGGCACTCTCCACCAAATCTACCGAGGATCAAGCTCTCCTGATTCGAGGAGAGATTTGCAAATGCACCATTTTGCTCCCGTTGTCGCGATGTTTTTCGGATAGATGTTGAATATTCGAGAAATGATGAGAGAGAATTCATAGCCCCCAATCACATACGAACGATGGAGTCGTTCACCGCAGTCGCTGATGAATTGGAACGGTAACAGAGGCGGGTGCTTTTCCATCCTCTGATCTCGTGCATATTGAGCGCGATCTGAGCGACCGGTCGAGAAACCGCGACGAGGGGCCACCGCGTTCTTCGAGACGGAACCACATGCACGGACCGCTCCTGTAGACCGTCGACGTCCGATCAAAGGCTTCCCGTTCACCATTTATTTTAACAAGCCAGTTAGACGCTCTTTTCGCCGAGTCGGTTCGCTGGCCGCGAGTTCCGAATCGGGTTTCCGACAACGAATTCCATCTATTCGGGTTCGGAAGGCTGAAGTCGTGGCTCTACCTCCGAATTTTGCGACAGCATTCCAGTCAGATGAGCTTCTAATGAAACCGAGCTAGGACTAGATTCGAATCTGCGAAGCAAACCCCCCACAATGCGCTCCGACTTTTGTCGACGACGTGAGGGTCGTACCATTGTTCTCCCGTCGACTCCTTTAAAAGGCTCCTCAAGTGGCTTTTGTGTGGTCTGAAGCGGCTGCACTCATTCCATCGAAGCCGACTGAGGCAAAGAACGACTTCAGGTCAAGCCTGTTGCATGCACCATCATACGGGGAGAGTCATTCTCGTGCGTTGCTTTGAATTTCGCGGTCTCGTCATTCCACTTGAGCGCGAATGTGCAGAACGAATGTCGTTCTGTGTTACTCGGACACGTCCCTACATTTACCGAGAAGCGAGTTTCTGATTCCGCGTATTGACGAAGATTGACACAACATGAATAGGTTCTGTCCTGTAGACAAACGCTCGTTGTTGTTGTTGAGAGAGAATGACAGATCGCGACGTTATGAGCTTGTCAAGGGCCCGCGCTTCCAGGCTACTCCAACAACAGGACGCCCGCTAGCTGCTGCTGAGAACCGTTCCTTGAGATGAGGAATTCCTACCGAGTTTTAACCGATCGGGGAGATCTCCGGGCATCCTTGTTTCCTGAGAGAATCCGAAATCATAATCCGTCACAGAACGGAGGGTCGACTCGCATAGAGAACGATTCCCGGCCGCTTGAATCGCGCTTATCGAGAATCTTCCTCCTGGCTTCTTCGGCCAGCGCCGCCGCTCGGATCGTGCACTGAATATCGATTACTCCGATATACCTAGTTGCGAGTGGACCCTCGATCCGCAGCCGAGCGCCGAGCGGGCGCTCGATTCGGTGAAGGATGACCACGATTGATTTCGACGTCGCGTCGGTCGGATTAGCTCGCGAAAGAAGACTCCGTCCCAGCTTTTACGGCGATCGAGGACAACGGAAGAAGAGAGGGAAGATTCACTACTCCGTCCGTGGCCAGGTTCCGCTTGCGAAATCACCACATAATGCAAGAGAATCAACTCGGTATCATTCATATGCGAGGCTTCCATAGAACCTACCCGGAACACGGCGCATTCGCTTATGCCCCTTGTTCTCAATCAACTTAGTGAAGAATCGAGCAAGTGTCGTACCTTTCTCCGAAGTAGGTTCCTCCCGCGAGCGACGGTGCGCCGAGCAGGTCGTATGAGACGAAGAAGGTCAATGCGAGAGTGTTCAAATTCGGTATTCGATGTCTCGTCGCTGGGAAGCAAAGCGTGAATTCATCTATGTTGCGGCTGCTACAAATGGTGTGAATAGTATTTTTCCCCATATAGGCGGTGTTATTCTACACACCGAGATGGATTTGGAAAGCTTGGGAGTCTAGACGTTTGGAGAATCTCCTGGCCCCTCGAGAGCCTTCCGATACCGCGAGGTCCATCTGGACAGGCGGCTTCAACAATTACATGTTCCGCTACGTCGCCTGTGAATTTTTGTGTTTGATTAATGTTGTCGCCCAGCTCTTCGTGATGAACCGGTAAGTCGAGTCGTCTTCAAGTCCCTTTGACTCTACGATAAGAAGTATGATTCACAGCTCTCTTCCCGAATAGAAACCATTCGTTCCAAAGCATTCTCCTTGTGCCATCCGTCTCAGCGTGCCCGGGCTGGGGAAACTGAGGGAAATCGAGGGATATGTCCGAAGCACTTATCTCAAGTTCGCACTCGAGTCGATGAGCGAAGTTTCTATCGAGCGCAGCTGATCGAATCTCGTGAACTTCAGATTCCTCGACGGCGAATTCACAACATTCGGTCTGGACGTGCTTCGCTTTTTAGATGAATCGCCTGAACTCCGGATCGACCCTATGGTGCGAGTATTCCCCAGAGTCGCGAAATGCCATTTCCAGAAGTTCGGCGCCTCTGGGAATGTAGAAACGCACGACGCAGTCTGCGTTCTACCTTTGAACATCATCAACGAGAAGGTTTGTGCATTAATTTTTATCAACAGGGCTCTGAACACTGTCCGAGCCCATGAGAAATGATGCGCCAGAAATCGCAGAAATGGATTCGCTCCGAGCAGCGATTGGGCGTTAATCAATACATATTGTCCTTTGAAACATCTTACGCACAGTCGGCTGCACGCGCACACACAGGGGGCCCGCGTCTCGTCTTTCTCTTTCGAAAACTCTCCGGCATTATTTAATCGACTTGATCAATACGCTCGAGATGAGCCTCCTCTGGGGAGCTTGCACCAGCTACGGAAGACACTCCTGAGCGCGTCGCGATCTGGGCAGGAATCTTATTCTCGCCGGGAAAATTTATGGTCTCGACGCAGCCCCATCCGTGAAAATTATAACAAATGGCTGCACGGAATTCTTCGAGCCTATATTCTTGCTTCTCAGTTCCCATTTTTGGGGAAGATGTGTTCAATTCTCGGAACAATATTCCAGGTCTATGTATTCCTGTGGTTCTGGATGTGGATGCTCTGTACCCTGACGATATTCACCATGATTTACCGCATGATCCAGCTCTTCACCGGAGGGGCCATCCGCGCTCGACTGATGAAATGGAGGTTCTATTATGTACCAGAAGTCATGCCTGTGAGTACCGAGCAATGTACGCTCCCTGGCGTCACGTTCCGCGTGTGTTCTCTAGATGGATTCCGAATCACTTTCTCGAGTGTTGCTCCCACTCCTCATAGGCCTATTTCACGACTCACTGAATATTTTTTAATTTTTCCTTCGGCCTTCCGCAGGCTGTTCGCGACTGTTCGGCCGGACAGAGCTTCGTGCTCTACATGCTCGGGAGGAATATGGACACGTCGAGCTTCGTCGATGTGTTGCACGAACTTAACCGACTCCAGGGCAAAGCTCCCGGATACGAGTCTGTCTCGAGAGAAGAGAAAATCTAGCCCCATGCTTCCGGTCTCTCGAGTATGCTACCCCCCGTGTAAATCTCGTGGTCGATGCCGGCGATCCGCTCCGGGAAGCAGAAGCGTCTCTTCTCCGGATGGCGGGCGATAATTCATGCCGCATACCTTGAAATAGCGTGTGTTCAAGGGCAGACAATCGGAGCTGACGATAAGCTGAATCATCATGTCTACTTCAATCCTTCCGCGCCATGTATATCCTACTTTCACCTGTTTCTGCCATTTATATAAAGAACTACTTAATCGTCGAAAGGTGCTCCGAAGTTTTTCCCAGAACGAATCCGGATCTGAGGAAGAGTAGGATTCGTAGGATTCCGCGTGACGAATTCAACAGTTTTCATCCGAAGTCGGGACCATTTGTTGACCACCGAACAAGTGCGCCCCTCCAATCATTCCTGGCGGCATATGTTTATGTCTGTACATGGATATGTAGGGACAGCCATGCAGCTGGCGCAAAGGATACGTCGTTCGAACATTTTGAATTTTTCCTCCGGAGCTGCCCATCTTCAAAAAGCTCTCTGGATCACGATTCCCCTGAGAAGGATAACGTAGAGTACATCGTTCCAAGGGAGTTCCAGAGTGTGCTCGGTCCAGGTTTTGTGAACGAATAGAGCTTCTCCGTAAGTGAGCTCTGTTGTAGGACTCCGGCGCGGATCGCGGAAAAGTCTGGCTCGTTTTCGATGAGCGGTATCATTCGTGCCATATGATGAGAGAAGAGCTGCATATACCTAGACCGGGTCCGTTGTTGCGTATACGTTCCGTAGGTACATGGAACGAGATCCCCTCCCTCATAATGTTTCCGTTCGTCGCATTAAACGGGCTCGCTCATGAACCCGAAAAAAATGAGAAGGCGAATATTTCAAGTGTCTCGTCGCTTTGATCCCGGGAATTTCCAAGCAAGTTGGCAAAAACAAAAACTCCGTGATTATCACGCTACAGGTAGGTACCTCTCCCCCGATGTCTGTCTGTCGGGTGGCGACGGAGCCTGGCTGCCGGCCGGCCTGTCCGAGTGAGTGTAGCTTCTTCCCTCCCCTGGCGTCGTTCGGAGCGAGGGTCCGGGAACCCACTCGTGGTTGTGTTGAGAGGGTCCTCGCGTGTCGGAGTTCTCTACGCCCCTTCACAATGCAGTGAATCCCGTTCGAGTAGCTGCACTAGGTTCTCTCTCGGTTGTCAGGGAACTGTGTTCAAACTTCTTCGCATTTTCGTCGCTGCTCTTACCACAGTTCCCGCTAGCTCAACGATTGAGTTTCGTGCAACCTTTTTTGTGCTTAATTAGCAGCTTGGATCGCGTCGTCGGGAAAAACGGTGATTGATTCCCCGCTTGATTGATTGATAGATTGATTGATCGATAGCTCGCCCGATCAGTCCGCCGAATTGACTGATGGTTTTGTGTGTTTCGCGGACTTGGTTGAACGATCAGCAACGAAACGGCGCTCGACTCATCGAGACTTGAAATGCTTGAAGATGCGTGCCGACCGTCGTCCGGCTCGATCGAACAACAGGTCTATATAGTGACAAGGAGTAAATACTCATCAGACGACATCCGACTGAAGAATGAGCGGCCTGATCGCCCGATAGTCGCCCTACCGAAAAACTACTAAACAAACGAAATATCCCCGGAGTCGAGGGACCGAAAAACGAAGCAGCCTCTCTGGGTCATCTCGAAAGCAAGCAAGTAAGTAGATCTTGGGGAAGGAAAAAAGGAGAAATGCAGTCATACCGTGAACCAGCGATTTCCGAGGGTATTGGAGTAATTTCTTCTCGCCTATGCCGAGAGCTCTGCCAAACAGAGCGCTCTGCCGAGAAAATTCGATGGCCACGAGGTCTGTCAGGCTCCCTCCGAGGTGCTGGAAGGCCTCTGGTCGTGTCCCTCTGTTTCTCTTCTTCTTTGGCGGCGGATCATGCGTTCGGGATGCTTTCTCTAGATCCCCGGAAGCCTCCCAGGAAATGATTCCGACTATCGGGGAGGAATCAGTCACCATAGTCGAATCAGTCTAATACGCCTAAATTTAGAATCAATTTCGCTCCCTTTGTAGAGGCGTCTTAGATCTTCGCTTCAGCCTCGAGCACAACGACACAGTTCCCTTGGCAACAAACGACAAAACAATCTCTCGTAAAGGTTCCTTGCTGTTTCGCTGCCCCGCTTGGGGCGCGGTGTTCGGAAGAGCTGAGCTGAAAAGTATCCCGGCGCTCGGCGTCCGTCGTGACCGCCTCCTGTCAAATCGATGGGGCCCATGAGGATATATCTACCCCGATAGAGTGTTGTGTTTGAATTTTTCATGCACGGCAAATATTGCAGTGAGGTGTTTCTTCTCAGTGTATCGCTGACAGCTTGATAATATCCAGTCGCGCCGTGGGCGTCGTCAACCCCGACAGGACTCGATAGTTGATTCGACCCCGCATCTACAGGCGAGGGAAACGAAAATGAAGATTGGCCCTCCAAAGACGAGTGCCTGGCTCGACTCTCGTCTGTTACCATCTGAAAAAGCGAGCAGAACCATCGAGCTTTGCTTGGGAGGAGGAAGTATCCTAGATCCAACAAACAAGTCGCGTTCTCCGATTCTGATGAAGGTGATATGTACGTAATTTTTTTTCGGCTGAGGTTTCGACGCTCCCTCGCGCCCCCGTAGTCCACGTGCCGTTTCTGTGAAGGCTTGCGAAGGACTCCTCCCGAAGTCGGGATTGGGTTGACACTCTTGGAAACGTTTGTCCTGGCACTGCGTTTGCAACACGATCGGACTCGATGGTGTTCGAGATATTTCAAATACCTACTTTCGCGACTAATGCGTTCGTCAAGCATGCTTTCAAGGGACGACGAGCACTCGCTCGGCAAGGCTGCATCACAAACGGTAGGTTCGGAGAATGACAGCAGATTGGGAACCGCGACGAGGTGCAGTCGGGAATTTCGGACGGATGAAGCCAGGCTGTCAGAGGTCCGTTCGGGAGTGATTGCTATTGAAGATTCAGACTGGATTCTGTGAGCAGATGACAGCAACGCTGAATCTCACGCCCTCATTGAAAATTTTGTCCAATGTTTTTCCTCGAACATTAGGTTTCCGACAATTTCTCAGAATTGAATTCTCCTAACGGTTCTTCACACCTCTCGCTCGTCGGACGGACGCTCCTTCGGTGAAACGGTTTTGGGTTCGATCGGTTGGCAGTCTGTTATTTGCTCCCACCTCACATCCGTCCTTCCGATGCATACATACATAACGACGAGGCTCGCCTTCATGCACTCGAACACTGACGTCACCGAGCTGTCTGGGCGGAGAATTGTCTCGCTCGATGACCAAGCCGAGGAGTTGACGACGGACGCAAATTCACGATTTGAAATTCTTGGCATTTCGCTTTGATCGCTCCGGAGAGCCTGCTGGAAACGTGCAGCGGAGTCACTCGGACATGATACACGCGATCTAGGATCGTAAAGCGCTATTATTCGCCGAGCTTAAGCAGTAGGCCACTGCGGAGAGTTGTTCTGTGCGAAGGCTCGAGAGCGTGCCCTCTATCCGACAAGGTGGATACGTATCCAAGACGTTGGGAATCGAATCTTGATCACCACCTCGTCGCATTGATCGGAGCCGAGGCGGGGGATGACGAGTAAGTGGCGATTCCCATTGCCCACCCATCGGAAGGACGTTGCATAGCATCAGACCTTGAAGCTAATATTAGATGCGATGCCGTGGAGATTAATTGCGATTTCATGTGATACGATCGAATAGTAGCAGCGATTTATCATCAATTGCTTACCAATTTAGTCAGTCCATCAATCACTCGGCCCGCCACCATTGTACGGACTTAGTCAGGCGAGCGTTTCCCCCAATTAATTCCATTGTCTCGGAGGGAGGATCTTCCAAGTTGAGCTCCCCGAATCCCGAGCACGATAACCCCTCGAGACGCAGACGACAACGAAAGCCGCCCCGGTCTGATAATACTTTACGTCGCTATTGGAGTCGCTTTAGCGCTGCCGTACAGATGAGACCCCCGTGACGTACGGGGAACAACGGGTCGACACGAGCGGTTCAGTATTATTCGCGGCCGCGGAACCTCTTCCTTTCAAGCTCGATATAATGCATGTTGTTCCAAAGCCCGATATCATCTTTTCAATCACGCACGGAGTCCAGCTTCGCCTGCGGCAACATCTGGAGTCCCCGACCCGTCGCAAAAAACGCTGGTCTATTCAAAAGATGTTGAGGCCCTGTCGAAAGGGAGAGTTCCCTGTTCTCGACTGGATCCGGCGCTGCGCCGCACGGGACGTCTGACGAGATCACTCGCGGTGGATCAAGGATTTCTTGCCAGGGCTGTTTTTAGAAACTCACTGCCGTTCAATTTCGGCAGCGGAAGCAGCTCCGGAGAAATGTTTAGCACATTAGTTCTCCGACCAAACGACCAAAATGTGTTTTGCCCGAACACAACTTTCTCGGTGGGATCGCAGCGCGGAATTTCGCAGCGGACAGATTTCTCATCTTCAATGACCGTGTTTTCCCTCTAATGTCAAGGACGAAACTGAAATTGATTTCGGTCTCGGTCGCTGCCTTCTCCCCTCTTTTGACAAACTCAATTCAGATGGTAAATAATATGTGCACGAGCCGACGCGAATCGTCAGTGTTGGCGTGCCTCGGGCGAGACACTCTGCGAAAGATTGAAGAACGTAACCATGGCAAAATATGACGGCGCTCGAGGGACCACGGGAGAGAATCGTCGAAAGAACAATGACGAATGGGGCGGCCGGAGCTGCGAGACGCCGATCGTCTGTCGCCGAGCCGGCCAGTTGGCCACGGCAGCCATCGCGAACATCCGCGAAGGGAATGATATGGATACAACAGGTCAATTCATCCTTGTTTATGACACTCATGTAGCGTATGGCCTTCTTATAAGCGCCACAAGTCGTTCATTTGACGCTCCTGGAGGAGCGTATGGTCGACGGCGATGCGGTGAAAAATGGCGGAGGCGACCGGCGTCCTGTTTTGCTTCGGAAGACACGCCGATCTGTTCGACCGGGAGACTGGCCGTCTGCGAGGTCCGAAGAGGGGCTCCGACGGGGTGAATAAGAAATAGAATGAATGAGCGGGCGGGCAGGCAGGCTAAGTGACGACCACGGTGCGGCGGGAGGGGGTTTCTATCGACTAAGAAAGGGGCGGCTAGTAGGTCGCAAGAACCTCATGCTGAACTGATTATATGCTTCGCAGCTTCCATGGTTAAGGCTCGTTGTGGGAAGTACAGCTGCTCCAACGGACTACCGGAGAGCTCAGCT